CGGAACTCAACATTATTGTTGTACTTGTTCTGGTCTCGCACTGGGTGGATCTGCTCAGGTGGCGGAACGCCGATGACTTCGTTGGCCTTCTCGGGTGGTGGTCCTGGCAGTAGTGGTGGCTTGGGCTTGTCACCGTCGTTCTTGTACGTGGACAGGGGGCTGATGACGTAGTCGCACGTGGTCTCGTTGCGGTACCTGAAGGTATCCTTGTTGTCAATGGTTAGGTGCCTTTTCCATGGTGTTCGTTGATTCCAGTTCTCTGGGGATTCCCATGTGGACTCTTTGGCTTGCGGATTGCTGTAGTATGCCGTAGCGTCGTCGTCCTTGAGATGAGCTCTCCATGAGTATGGCAGTTGCATGTGGTGTGATTGCAATGTCGGGAGTCCTGCATTGAGATCCGGGGGTTGGGATTGCGCGCCTTCTGCTCGCAGATCAGGGGCGTGGTTCTTCTTGAGACGTATTGCTTGTATCTCGGTCGCATGTGGGCTGGCTCTGCTCGACAGTTGGGTGCGTCATCCATTCTGGTATTGTCGATGGTGCTGGCTTGGTTGCCGGTCCGTTCTCTCCTCAGGTGATATGGCCTTCTGGCAATTGGGCCGATTGATTGCCAGGTGGGGCATAGGCTTTGGAGCCCTGGGATCTGGATGAGGCCTGCCAAGTTGAGCTTCTCGTCGTACTCGAGGTGCTGGTTTGGCTCGCGTGACTGTTGCACCTCTTCCAGCTGCTTGTCGACCTCTGCCTCGTTTTCCTCTGATATGTATTATCGCAGTCGGCCATTCTGATGACGAGTCGGTTGCCGTGTGTGCCGATCCCAGATGGCGGTTTCCATGGAGTGGTGTCTTTGGGTGGCCTTTGGAGGGGCGTAGGCGTTGGCGGCGGTATCAACTCCGATTCCATCGGTGTCCGTGTCGTCGATGGTCCAGCTGGTGCTGGCGCTGCCATCCTCGTCCGTGGTGTCCGTGGCTTTGCGCCCCTCTGGACAAGGGGGCCGGTCCCGTGTGGCGTGGCTCGCCGAGCTCGGCTGGCCACGCGGGCAGGTTGCCTGCGCCCTGTCCGAGTGTTAGCTTCAAGTCGGGCTTGTTTCTCTACAGGAGGGATATTCCAAAGTAGTCAAACATAGTCTGGGGACGATGTTCTATTATTTTTGATCCTTTTTGGGTATGTTTTGTCATTTTTTGATTTTTCGCCCAAAATCCGCCTGTAGGGGGACATGCCCGACCTCAGATTAGCTCCATTGGATGTTCTGGTCCGAGTGGTGGTTTCGGTGATGCTGTGCAGCGGTCGAGGTGGTTGATCTCGTTCTGCTCGTGGCGGTAAAGCTGTACCTGGTCTCCTCCGGTAGGGCCTCCAGGCAGCGTGCGTAGCCCCCCTATGGTCTGGGGCGTGATGAGTTCATTGTCGTTCTTGAGATAATGCACACATCGGTGGTTGGGTGCAGGGTCTTGGGTCCTGTGGTCTCGATGACGTCCCTCATGCACATGGGTGGTCCTAGCCTCCGTTGGTGTCAGGATGTTGTAGTCTGGCGCGGTCGGTGCCTGGGTGTACGACATCGACGTGGGCGGCGGTGTCCACTTCCACAAGCTTGCTGGGGACGGTGGTGCGCTGCTGCATCTCGAGGGCTCTGGATTTCGCGACCTGCTTGGTGAAGGCGCTGTGGATCTGCTTGAGGTTGTTCCATTCCTTCTGGTGTCTAGGCCTCCCAGATGGGGTCCGAGTAGATGAGGTCGGAGGATCGCGCCGCATCGCCGATGCATCGCGGATGCGGCTTGATGAGGATTCCGTGTTTCCCCACGCCGACGTCGCCGTTGCACCGCCGACGTCGGCGATGGCGATGCATCGCCGATACATCGGCGATGCATTGGCGATGCGGCGCGATCCTTCGACCCTATCTACTCGGACGCCATATAGGAGGACTCTATGGTGTCCCTTGGACGGCGTGGCAGGCACCAGTCGTGGAGGCTCCTTCTCGGCGAGCTGCCTCGCTTTTGTGCCAGGGGACTGTGATGGGCGGCCGCTGCTTACCATAGCCTTTAAGTCGGGCCTGTCCCTCTATAGGAGGAGTATTCAAAGATAGTCAATCAACAGTATGCGGCCTTTTTTTTTTTTTTTTTTTTTTGGTATTTTTGGATATTTTTTAATATTTTGCTGTATTTTTGTTTTTCGTCCAAAATCCCCCTGTAGGGGGACGCGCCCGACCTAACCATAGCCTCTGTAGTTGGCTTGTCCCTTGATGGCGGCTATCCTGTCCTTGTACTTGATGGTGTTCTGGTAGTGGGATACCCTCTGAGGTCACTCAAGCCAGTATCGATCCAAGCACATGCAGTTGCCATTCGGGTAGAAGAAGTAGAGCCTGATCGCCTCATCGATTCTTTCGAAGACGGAGGCCTGTCATCGTTCGTCGGTCGCTGGTAGGTATGCACGCGTGGTATGGTGCTCGTATAGGGTCGTGCTGAAGCGGTCGACGGTGTTGGAAGCCAGGTGCACGGTGCCCTGGTACACAGCTAGTGGGGCGCAACTTGTGGCTGTGAGTGAGTTCTTCTTGACGATCCCTCCTCCTTCTGCCACCATCCCGTCCCTGCCGCCGGATTTCATCGAGTGGGATGCTATTGATAGATTGTTTCTGATACCCAAACTGCCTTCTGGCAGAGCCCTGCACGGTGCCGTTTTGATGTATGACCTTCTTGCCACTACTTACACTGCCATTCGCTCGTTGTCCCTTCTGGCCAACAATTCCAGCAGGGTTGAAGCAGTGATGCGGGCGAGGGCGCCAGCGATTGCCAATCGAAAGCTGGCCATCAGGGAGGCTCTGACCCAAAGACCCGATTACCCCTATGGAGCCTGACATTATCATCATCATCATCATCACCATCATCATCATCAGCATCATTATTATCATCATCGTCATCATCGTTGTCATCGTCGTCATCGTCGTCATCGTCGTCATCAGCATCACGACCGTCATCATAGTCATCAGCACCATTACCAAAACAATTACCATCACCATCACCATCACCACCCTCAGCATCGTCGTCATTGTGGCCGTCGTCGTCAGCGTCGTCATCATCATCATCATCATCATCGCCATCACCACCATCACCATTACCATCACCATCACCATCATCAGCAGCATCGGCAGCAGCACCAGCCGCATCATCATTAGCATCGTCATCATCATTATCACCATCATCGTCATCATCACCATCATCATCACCATCATCATCATCATCCTCATCCTCATTATCACCATCATCGCCATCATCGTTGTCATCGTCGTTATCGTCGTCATCAGCATCACGATCAGCATCGTCGTCATCGTCGCCATCAGCATCATCATCATCAGCATTATCATAATCATCACATTCAAAATCATCATCATCATCATCATCATCATCATCATCATCATCATCATCATCGTCACCATCATTTTCATCCTCAAGGATCGGCGGGGCACAGCCGCGGAGGAGCACCATGAGGCGAAAGAACGGACATGAGCCAGCAACAACACCACCGAAGCCTCCTCCCGATTCCACTGCCGCCGCGACGACGACGTCGACGACCCCACGGTCTCCCCCAAGGAGGGCCGGACGGTTCCGACAGCCTCGAGGCTCAGACCTCAAACTTCGACGGCGACGGCGACGACGACGCCGACGACGCCGATGCTGTCGGCGGCGGCGCCGGCTGTGCCGGTGACAATGGCGACGTATGAGGTCGACCACGACGACGACGATGACGTCGTCGACAGTGACGACCACTATCACGGCGATCGCGACGATGTCGTCGACGACTACGACCACGATGACGATGACAGCGATGCCCAGAACCACGACGACGCCTGCAGGCTGCTGGGGCTGCTGTGTACGCGCGGTGTCTACCCGATGCTGCCCGTGGACTTCATCCGGGAGCGCTGCTCGCCGTCGTTCGTCGTCGTCGTCGTCGTCGTCGTTCGTCGTCGTCGTCGTCGTCGGTCTGTTGGTTTCGATCGTCGTTCCGTCGGTCCGTCGTCGTCGTCGTCGTCGTCGTCGTCGTCGTCGTCGGTGGTCGGCGGTCGGTCGTCGGAGATCGGTCGTGGGCGGTAGTCGTCGTTGTCATCGTGGGGTGGGGGCCGCGGGTGCCATTTTGCGGGCGAATTTGGAGCAATGCGCTGTAACAAGCTGACTGGATACCTAAGTGGCTTGCGCAATTCCGACGGCCCCCACAAGGAGTGAGTGTGTTTGAGACGATCGCGGAAGTTACACCTCCGGTCTGGAGCTTCCTGGATGAATCTGAGGGTCTCCTGGGATGCCTCTCTGGGGCCTCTTGGAGAACTCTTGGGGGCATGCGGGAGGCTTTTTGGGGCTCCAGGGAGCTTTCGGGGGCGTCTTGGAGGCCTCTTGGGCCTCTTGGGGTACCTCGGGGGCCTCTGGGGGGCTCGAGGGGCCATCTCGGTGGGAAGGCTCGACATGTCAGTTCGTATCCCCCTCTTGGGCTTTCTTGGAGCCCTCCAGGGGCCGTCTTGGGCCTTCTTGGGGGTCCCCTGGGGCTGTCTATGGGCCGTCTTGTGGCCTTCTTGGTGGCATCACGGGCCGTCTTAGGACGATGGGGGCCTTCTTGGTCGTCATGTTCGGTGAAAAAAACGTAAAATGCGCATGTACTCGACATAGGCGTTTTCCCGAGGGAATGGGATGAGTTTGGCTTCTTGGGGTCACGGTGCCCCCCCGAGTAGATACCCAGCCAGTCTCCTCGGTCACGGTCCCGGCGTCCGGCGTCCCTCCCAGAAGGGGCGCGGCCAGTTCTGTGTCGTTTGCTGCTCCTTCTGGCCTTACACTGCGAACATATATGAAACAAGCCAAATTATTTGCTTGTTGTATCATTTCCAGTGAAGAGTTTGCCATGTTGGACGCTCTCGGTAAACACCTCGGGGACACACGGTCGGTCGAGGGTATCTTGGGAGGCCCTGGGGCTGTCAGAGTGGCCTCGGGTGCTAAGCTCTTGGGCCGCAGATTCTCAAGAACAATTTGGCTCGAGTTGTCATGTTGGCACTCAGTCATCTTTTCCCTGGGCTGCACCAAGTACTTGTGCCCTCTTGAGCGCCGCCCTTCGGCGGTGAACGCAGGGACCTATTCCACACCTTTCAGCTCCCATGGCCAAGGGCGATGCCTCTGGACAGCGTTGGACCTGTACGAAGTGCGGATGCAAGCGAAACCTGGGCCACTGGTGGAGATGCAAACACTGCCGTTCGCCGTATTCCACCTCAGGGGCTCCAGAGGAAAGTGACGACGCTGGGGCGGGCTGGAACGAAGGTTGGTGGGGCTGGGAGTCCTACGGTACGAGCAACACGGCTGACTCCTCGGTTCCGATGGGTCTTCCTGCTTGTCCTGGGCCTCAATGTCATGCCCCTGGCACGTTCGCCCCATCGACCATCCAGCCCGACGCCAAGCTCGAGGATATCCAGGCCACCATCGACACGCTCACCAAGGTTGGGGATCGCGTTGGGGCAGCATCCTACAGCAAGATCCTCGAGCAGCGGAAGGCGAACCCCGCCTCAGTGGGTAAACAACTTCATCTCCAGCAGCGCGTCTACACAGCTTTCCAGTCAGCACGCACCTTGGAGGGCAAACTGGAGAAGGCAGTGGCGCACTTTCAACGATTGGAGACTCAGCTGGCTGAACAAAAGGACTGGGTCTCGAAGGTCAACGATGAATTGGTGGCCGCGGAGACGGAGCACCCAGTTGGTCCGTGCACTGCATGCCAAACTTGTGGGCCGCCCAATCCTACCCCGCCAGCTCCTGGCGCGAATGTGGCCACCATCCCGATCGACGGCATTTTGGAAGGCAAGTCGGATCTACTTATTTCAATGGGAAGCTTCGGCCAGCTCGACGTCGGCATCTACGAGTTGGACCAGCCTACACGCGACGAAGCAATGCAGAGGATGGATAAGTTGCATGCAGATATCAAGGCGGCCATCGGAGTGCTCCTCGGGGACGCACCGGAAAATATCAAGGCGGCGAAGGAGGAACACCAAGCCCTTCTCGGCCGTCTACAGAAGAAGAAGCGGAAGGTCGATGGAGCGGACGCCGATGCAGATCCTGCTGCAACAGCTGTTCCTCCAGCGCCGGCCGTGCCTGAGGGCGCGGCGCCCCCTTCTGAGCCAGTGCAGCCTGTGCCGGGCGCCCCTGCCTCTGGTTCCTCCTCAGGTGGCCCTGCGCCTTCCTCAGCGGAGGAGTCGACGCGTCGGGCCGCCCGCGTGGCAGCGGCCACTATTTGGAAGCAAGGGGAACCCGCCCCCAGGAGGCGCAACCGCAGCTTGAGGGGGGGTCTTCTCCACGCCGAACTTTAGTAGTCTAGACGGGCTTAGCCAGCCCGCCATTTCCCGATTTTGGTCCAGGCTCACCCAGGTGAAACTGCGCGCTCGGCGGGTCCTTAACTTTTTGCCCCCTGCCCAGGCCCAGGCCCAGGAGCCCCAGGCCCAGCCTCCCTCTTCCTCGCCTCCGACGACCCCTCCCCCCCCGACCCAGGAAGGCAGGTCCGATCTCGCCCTGGTCTTTGTTGCCGCCAACGTCTCAGGGTGGGGGTCTGGCCGGCAGTTTTTATTTAGTACCTCCGCGCATGTAGCGCGCGTGCAGGATCATCGCTATCTGGCTGGGGAGCGGCTGGAGCAAGCGAGCGCCTGGTCTTCTCGCAACAAGTGGCGTGCCATGCGGGGCCCAGCGGCTCCAGGTGGTGTTTCGGGGTCAAAGGGAGGTGTCGCTATATTCGTCCGAGACTTCCTGGGCTTGCACCACGGTATCGCCTCGCCGTCTCCGTCTCTGGTCATTCCAGGAATTGTGGGGGTTTCTGGCGGTCGTGATTCTTCGGTGACGTCAATTTATTTTCGGGGTGTTTCGGGCATCGACCAGTGCAATCAGAAGCTGTTGTCGGACGCAGGTCAGGCCTCTACGGGCCCTTGCCTCCCCTGGTTTATTGGTGGAGATTTCAATCTCCCCCTGATTGATTTACACGAGTATGATTATCCTAAGCAGCGCGATGGTGGAGTAATTCTCTATCCCGCATATTCTGGGACGTGTCAAACAACGGGAGGGATGAAGATGAACGGCTATTTTGTGGCGAGCCCTGAACTTAGCTCTGCCATCCAATCCCTGGAACGCGCGTCGGATGGAGATCTCTCGCCGCGCTGGCCAGTGCAGATCACGCTGTTCCCGCAGTACGGGCAGCTCCGTGCGGTGACGCTTGCTCGGCCGCAGCGCATCCCTGCCGTTCGCCGGATCGGGCCGCGTGGCCCCCCGCCCGACTACCAGCCAGCTAAGGACATGCTGCAGGATGCCCCCTTGGCCGCTCGGGCTGGTATTGGGGGGGGGGGAATCGCAGGCTCCCCTCGCTAGTTCCTATCGTGATTGGGCGGGCTTGGCGGAAGCTGAAGTTGCTGAGTTGGCGGGGGTAGAACTCAGGGCCCCTGGGGCCCGTGGGTCCGTCCCCGACATGGTCTCGCAACCTGTTTACTTTCGTGATGTGAAGCCCCCTCGCCAGCCCGAGTTGGTTTCCGTCAGGTGGCTTTGGGGGGCCGCCTTGATGCGTGAGGCCAGTGTCCAGCGCCCTCTTCTGGCTGGCCTCTCCGATGCTATATCTTACGGCTTCGCTGTGCGGCCGACCATAGTCAAGCACCAGGGTGAGCGACGTCGCCTTTCCCACCGTGCCCACGACCTGTGCTACTCCTCGTCGCTCCACCCCTGGCCTGAGGGCGTCGGTTGCAGGATCACTGAATGTCGGGGTCTTGTCAGGGATGCCCTGCAGCAGGCTGAGCAGGTTGCCCGTAATTCTGCCCCACAAGCTTGGAGGACGTGGCCCCTCAAGGGTATCGACAGTGGCGGTCGCGACGTCCATTTGGCCACCAAGGCCCCTGCTCCGTGGCAGCCATGTACTGTCTTGTCGGCGGGAGGTAGAATTGTTAGTGATCCTCCGAGTCTGTTGGCTGCTGAGGCCCTTAGGTACAAATCCTTCTGGCGGGCTTCGCCCGCGCCGCCGACCCCGCCGGCGGATTTCGTGTCTGCCCTCGATCTTCCTCGCCTTGAGCTGGACGTGGTTCGGAAGCTATGCCTCCGACAAAAGGAGAGGCCAGCTGTTGCTACTGGCGGGTTCCACCTCCGTCACCTGGGTTGGTTGTGCGACGGCGGCCTTCAGTGTTTATTGGATTTGCTTTTGGTTATGGGAACCCCGGGCTTGCTGCCAGCCCAGCTGGCTTTTGTCGTCGTGTTCCTGATCCCTAAGCTTCCTGTAGGTTTGCGACCCGCGGGGATTTTCACGGCGCCGCACCGAGTCTGGGCCAAGGCCCGCAGACCGATTGCAGACGCCTGGGAAGCCGCGCGCGCGCGGCCTTACTTCGCAGCGGGCGCTCTTACAGGATACTGTGCGGAGACAACTCCTCAAGGCTGAAGCTGGTGTCTCATCCTCTAAGATTGCCGTCGATCGCTTGTGGGACTTCTTCAAGTACTATGAACTGTCACCTTTGGGCCAGCTGCAGCAGGGGTGTTATCAGCGCGACTTTCCGCTTGCAGTCAGCCGCCTGACCCTCAGAGCCTACTCGTCAGTGCGGCACCTCGCCCTCCAGAGTATGGCGTCCAGTGGGGTTTTCGTTTTGAATGGAGCGGTCGCTGGCTGCAGCCGGGCCACGGCGATGATCCGCGCCAGTGCCCTCGACCCCTTAGATGCGATGTCCTGGGGCCCTGTCGTAGACTTCAAGCTCTACATTGATGATCGCAGTATCTCGGCAGCAGGGGATTTTCAGGAGGTGGTGGAAGGAGTCGCGGCTTGTGCTCGGCAATTACAGCAGGCGTCGTTTGCTGTCGGCGCCCTCCTCGCGGCCGACAAGGCCGCCATGATTTGTAGCAGCCGAGGAGCTGGGCTTCAAATTCATAAAAAAACCTTGGTCTGGAACTCACGGGCCCCCTGGTCTCTTCCGGGGTCAACTTGGGGGTCGACGACGCGCGGGGTCGGCCGCAGAGGGCCCCGGGGCGCAATTCTAAGGCCGAGCAGCGCAGAGCGGCGGGGGGGGCGAGAGCTGTCAGGTTGGGGCGTCTCTCGAGGCATCTAGCCCGTCGTCGTCTTCGTCGTCTCTGGGTGGCTGGCCCCCTCCCCGTGTCCAGTTATGGGGCCGAGTGCTTCGGGCTCTCTTCGTCGGAGCTCTTGAAGCTCAGACGCTCCCTCGGTCGCCTGCGTAAGCCGTCTGCGGGCCGGGCAGCGTCCCCTGTCCACTTTGATGCTCTTAGAGGGGGGCCACTCCTGGCTGGCCCAGGTCTCGTGTGTCACCAGGTGGCGTAGGGAGGTCTGGGCCTCTGCCAATGCCCTTCGCCCCGCGGCTGTGCCGATCCCTCAGCTGCGTCGGCGCTGGCAGGCGGTCTGGCGCCTCCCCATGCCCACCTGGAGGGGGGTCGCTGGCCCCTTCTCGGCTTTGAGGCTGGCCCTGCACAGACTGGGTGGGAGCACGCTCGAGTTGAATCGCCTTCGGGGCGACCTTGGCTCGGTGCACGAGCTATTTTGCACGCCCCCCGCCCCCCTCAGGACACATCTTTGTTCGGCCGTCCTCAGGAGATTGGAGAGGGGCATCTCTGATAAACGCCAGTTCGTCCACGATCGCCTCTCCTTCGACGTTGTGTCTTCGTGTTTATCCTCGTCGAAGTTTACCCCTTGCAGAAAGGGCACTCTTCGGGCACGCTCGTGCGACGGTATTTGGACGCGTATGCTCGCTCGCAGCCGCGGTTGCCAATTTCCAGCTGTTTGCGAGTTATGCGGCGGCCTTTCTGACTCTATCTTTCACCGCCTCTGGTGCTGCCCAGCACTCGAGGAGGAACGGGGGGAACTTATGGAAGAGGGGTTGACTGACGGCGTCAAAGACTACGCGAGCTCTTCAGGTAAACTGTTCGTGGTCACCCGATGCGCTTTGCCGCGCCCTGGGGGCCGCTGCCCGCCCCCCGTGCATGTGGGCGAAGACGAGATCAATATTGTTTGGTATGTGCCCCCTCCCCTGCCATAATTTTCGGGCGTTGTTTTTGTTTACGGTTCTTGCGCGCGCATGATAATTATGGAGTTGTCCAGAGCCTCTTGGTCAGTGGTCTTGTATTCTAACTAGCAGGTTAAGCTAGCTTCCGCCTCGGGCCCAGTCTGGTCCCACGTGCCCCAGGCGCCCCAGGCTGGAGAGTTCTGTGCCTCCTCAGCTGCCGTTCAGATGATTGAGGGTCCGTCGGAGTTGGTGTCGGACTGCTTGAATGTGGTGCGGTCGTTTGCCCTCGAACGGCAGTCGCAACTCTCCGACAAAAGGGCTTTTTTTCTGGCCACTTGCTGCAAGCCCGAGCTTCGGTGGTTTTTAAACGCTTCTCGAGGGTCGCGCGCGTCAAGTCGCGCCAATCCCTCGACGACCCCGACACTTCCTCGGAGCGGGGTTTTTGGCGCGTCGGCAACGCCTACGCCGATCGGCTTGCCGAGATAGCGTCGGGCCGACACCCCGCGGACCCTGACATTGAGCGGTGGCTCCAGATCGATTTAAACTATGCCGGGGCCTATTGTATTTTGGCGATGAATTTGCTTGCCCGTTTTCAGTCTTTGCGCGAATTCGGAGAGGTGGAGTATATCAAGCCGCCAAGGCCCCCGCGTCTTCCAGGTCCTGAGCACAAGTGGCCCCACCTCGGCACCGTCTGGCGTTGTGCTAGCTGCCTGGAAGTTGCCCGACGCAAGTGGCCGCGTAAACCTCGCCCCAGTGTCTGTCCTGGTCCCAGGGAGCAGCCCTTTGGCGATATCGCCGCCCATGGTCATCGCTGCGTCGCCCTGGACTGCAGCGATCAGGCCATTTTCCTCATCTGTCTTTCCTGTGAGTGCTATTCCTCCCACGGGCGCTTTCAAGGCCTGTTGGAGAAATGCACCGCCAAACCCGCGAAGTTCGGAAAGAGGGTTTGGTCTGCAGTCTCGCGCGGCTTGCACCCAAAGCGCGCGACAGTTCGTGTGGAATGCCCGTTGCATTTTTCTGACGTGGCCCAGGGGCGCCGAGCTCGCCCTCGTCGAATTGCCGCCACCCTGTCTGACTCGGAGGAGGAAGAGAGGAGGCGCGAGCTCGGGAGATCGCTGGCCGAAACGGCATCCCGTCTCAATGTGCGGCAGTCTCTTCTCGAGCAAGAAGATGAAACTGCCTTTGTCCCAGTCCCGCCAGTTTCGGTGTTGGATTCTGGCTCCTCGGACTGACGTTCCGCGAGCGCCCGCGGGGCAGGCAACCGTTCATTCAGACCACATGTGGGGCGGGACTTGCCGCCGTCCTGGCGCTCTCCGCGCCGGGGGTAGGCGAGCCTCGCGTCCCTGTGTGTCGGTCGGTCTTTGTTCAGTTTTTGTCTGTTCTGAGCCGTCGCTCTCGAGTCTCTCAGTCTTTGGCGCACGGCCCGTTGCGTCTGACCCGCAGT